GGCTCAGCACATACGCATCAAAGCCTAAAGATAGCTCGTGATGGCCACGCCTGATGCCCAAAGCATGGTAATGACAGTCAGGGCGGTCGATGGACTCAACCACCAAAATGCTCCATCTTGGGGCGGATCCGTCAACCGCCTGTTATATTTCAAAGCTCGTAAAACGCCCAAGCAATCCTTCACATGACATCTCTGCACGCGGCTTGCCTCGTTTTGGCCTCTCTATCTTTAGATCCAACCAGCATGGTGGCGCTGTCCTGGGTCAGTAGTGGTGGAGCACGGGATAATTATAGGGTGATGACGACGCGACCCCCTCCCCGGCGTAAGCGGAGGCATATTTCTTTTGCTTTGGAGTTGAATAATGAAGCTGCTTCTCTTTCTCAGCAGTGCCGCGCAAGTGGCCGCGTATTCCAAGTATTTATCACGCTGACTTGTTTTGTTGATTTGCAGACTTCGCTCTTGGAGGGAAATCAATCTCCACAGTCTTGGAGCATTATATATATGATTAATTATCACAATTCATCGATGATTGCATATACTGTAGATATTTATTTCGTACGCTGCCGTTCGACGACGTCAAGTCGTCGACTTCGGGCGCTGTCGTTGAGGACCGCTGGGGGGGGGTCGGGAGAATGTCATGGCTGCGAAACCCGGGGATCGAAGCCGCGAACTTTGGGACAACAAACCGATGCTCTACCCACAGAGCTAAAGTCCCCTCTCATCTGCTGTCCATGGCGGACCATTTGTCGCCCGACATGGGCACAGGGACACCGGCATCGCAAAAGAGGAACGCTATCTGTTCGTACCAAGAGCTAGTGTCCAAGCTTCATCATGCACGTCAGTTTGAGAATGCCTTCACCAGCGCGTGCATATTCTAGACGTATGCAGGGTAGGTCGTTAGTACTCGTGACACCGAAACGACTTCAGGTGGAGTTGTGGCATATCGTGAGGCGACGCCTCAAAGAGATCTCAGCGAGGGATACAGAGAAGGGGATACACAACCGCTTGCTTTATTTACTCCAGCTAGTTGGTCTATGGCTTCATAACAAAGGCAGCTGCGGCGGTAGCTACGGCCAAGGCAACGGTGGATGTCGTT